TATATACAGTCAATGATAACGTTAGCTACCCGCAAACAGGTAGTTAGTTAGTAAGTTACAGATAGCCACGTTAGGTAAGTTAGTTAGTTAGTAAGTTAGTAAGTTAAGTTAGTGTTGGAGAACTGACAGCTAGCCGAGCTAAGCTAAAGCTAACGGTAGCGAACTGATTTAACGTTAGCATGTGCCCGAATATTTAAATAACTGCACATGGTGATTAAAATACTCACAATTGACGGTGGTTAGAAACATTCTGTAGACTTTAAAGCAAAACCTGAAGAAGCTATGAAAGCATAACAGTTCGAGCCGAGGTAAGTCACATTGACAACTCCGGACGTCCGGTTTTACAAGCACTTCCGGGTCCTGTTAAAGGTGTAGTAGCGCTGGAGTCACAGAGCAGTGATACATGGAGCAATAAACGGCCAGCTCACACACACCATGAGTGACAATGAGCCTACATCTGGAGGGTAAATCTACCAGGGGTTTATATTTCAATCAACCTTGAGCTTTTTGATCTCCTCTGAAAGCACAAAGCACATGGTTTCCACACACACACAGACTAAAATACATATTTATTCATCAGAACATGATACTGGTACTGTAGCTGTTGTTAGACAGTTGTTGAAGGCAAAAATGCAAAACAAAATGATAAGTGATTCAGGGGCCAACCAGAAGGAGACAAATGGACAAACACACAACGTGAGGCCGTAGAGTACGGGCAAACAGGAAATTCATTTTGATGTCATAGGAATGTGAACAATATATCAGCTATAATTTCCTGAAGTAAGGTTTCTAGATAAGGTGGATGTTGATGAGATGATTGTGTGCAGGTTTTTCTTGGTTTTTCTGTCTAATAATATATACATTCAGACAGTTTTATCAGTAATCTAACACACAATAGTATTAGGTGAAGACAGGTTAAACTACATGGATATAGGTGAATACAGCCATGTCTGTTTCTTTTAGGTGTTCTTTGCCAGCTGCACCAAACAAACCCTTTTCCACAGAATGCATTTGTCACTTATTTGTATAGCAAATTCAGATAATCTTGTATAGAAGTTGGCTGTTTTTAAGAGTAGGTGGACTTCAGCACTGCACATGATCACGTTCGTTCGCAGGGATACAGTGAGTAGGCATAGAGATATGGAACTGTCACATGCTGAAGGACAAGTAAATGTCTTAATTAAGGTGAAATAGTCATGAAACAATGGAAAAGTATTTCCCCCATAGCATGAAGACACCATCAGTACATGAACTAGGCCTGTACTGCATGTTGAACTTTAGCTAAACAGTTAAAGTTGGGTATAGTTTTCTCTTGTCTGGTTTGTTTACCTTTGTAAAAAAAATAAATAAATAAGGAAGATTTCTGGGTAGGGGCCATAGAGTTGTTATTGCTCTAGAGAAATAATGATGGGGTGACATGGAGATTATAAGGGGGTGGCAGAAATGTATGCTAATTAAATCACAAACAATATATTGATATTTGCTTGGAAAAGCCCCAAATGAAGATATTTGAACTCTAAAAGATTACATTAATGTGGCACATTAGTAAAGCACTGAATAGAAATATCTAAAGGTGGAATTAGAAATGAATACATTGTTTTATTTCCAAATCTTCAGGCATTTTTCCAAATAGATGCGTTTTGTCATTGGACTTAACCCTATCAGTTAGTCTAAATAATTTCCTTAACAGATCATTAAATTCATTTCCATTTTTTAACACTTTTTAAATTAATGTTTTAAATTTCACAGCATTGGATGCCACACTGGGGTGGCCAGGCATTTTTTATGCCATGCCACCACTCTAGATTTGCCCCTGTCGGGAATGAATTCACCATCCCACAATGAGTGGTCTGATTAAAGAGCTCAATCATCCGCTAGGGCCTTTTTGCAAAGGAATATTGAATTAGGCACTTGACTTTTAGGTGAACTGAATAAATTATATGTCAAAAGAACCAGTGCAGGCCAGCTGAGACACTGAAATGACCAATTGGTGTGATAGCAGAACATTTTAGGCCTATGTTGAAGGGTGAGAAATTAGCCTAAATTTACATCCTTTCTGAGTCTTTAGTAAAATAGTCAATGCTTGCTTTTGCTCCTGGTCCTTGTGAATAGCTTGGAGTCCTTGCAGGTTGTGTGTGTTTCAACATTAAAGGCACTTCAGGCTGTAAGCATGAAGAAGACTAATATGATGATTGAGATTGAGAGTGGAGGAGGAGGAGGGGTTTTTTGTCTTGTACAGACAGTGCCTGTTGAATAGTCTGTTATGTCTCAGAGACTGTGCAGTTTCTTCATTTTTATCCTATCCGTGTCTAAACAAACCTTATCGGTCTCTAGAATCTTCCAGTTCATGTTCGTTTTGTTGTTGTGTTTTTTTACAGTGAGACATTGGCAGTTGCCATGAGAGCAAATGCGCATCTGTTAAGAATGTCTGACCAAGATGTGGACGGATGTGGTCACGTATTTATTTTCCTTTTGATATCTATTTTGGTAATTCCAACCTAAATCTTTTTTCTCTTTTTTCTATATATGTATATATATATATATATATGTATGTATATGTATATGTATATGTATATATATGTATATGTATATGTATATGTATATGTA